AGAGAGAGAGAGAGAGGGAGGATGTGCTACAAAAAACTAATTTCTGATGTTTGGTTTTTATAGGTAGAGCATAGGAAGATGACACCTGCTGCTGCCTTTGAGTATGTGAGATCAAGCAGGCCCCGGGTTCTTTTAGCTGCATCGCAATGGCAGGTATAGCAAGACATCTTTATTGATCAAATAATGAAGGAAGGAATGGAGAGAAAGCACTTGATTTTTTTTTTTATATCCTTTCATTTGCTTTATTTTCAGATTATTTGTCAGATTATTTGCTTCTTTTTTTTACCTGTTTGTTTAATGTGGTTGAAATTTTCCCTTTTTTCTCTGCAAATTTTATTTTATGTTTTGTTTGTGTGCGTGTGTGTGGGTGGGGGGGGGGCTGGGGGGGTGGAGGTTTGGGGGTGAGGAACATATATAGTATAATAGGAAGTTGGGATATTTGGTTTCAGGTATCTATTAAGCATCCCACTAAATAATTGCCCAATAAATGTATTTTTAATCATCTATCATAAATTATTAATTGTAAAAATAGCTCTAGTTATAACTTATAATTTTGATCGTGGATTTTTAATGATAGAAAAAAAAATCATTGATTTCTTTTGTTATGAAGGGTTAAAATTAAGGGATTGTCTACAAAGAGACCATCTATCTTTTGTACATGGAGGTCACAGTCATTCTTATGCCTTCAATTTCGAAATGGATGGTTGTGTCATTGAATAGGCAAAGTTCAAAACAAAAACTTCTTAGACTTCGTGACTTACCTCAAGCCATCCAATTTGACATCTAATGATTGAGATTGATTGTGACTTCCATATACAAGAGATAAATGGTCTCTTTGTAGACAATCCCTTCTTCAACGTTCAAACGATGAAACCTGTATGAGAGAGAAATCCTGGAGTGGGAGGCATTTGGAGAGAATGACAAGGGGAAAGAGTTCATGTTGAAAGATTGGTAATCTTACAAATAGAAAAAAAAATTGAAAAGTTCAGGATAGGGAATGGAGGTGGGTTGAGAGAGGAATGGAGAAGGTAGGAGGCACAGATGAGAGAGAGAGAGAGAGAGAGCTCATGCAATATCTTGATTTAGCTTAGCAGGTGCTTTGTCTTAATTGCAGGCAGTCCAAGACTACCACCGGCGTCGTGTGAATCGATTGCCCCTCATCAAAACCCCTGCCTCTCTTCTTGCTGAATCATCAGATTTAGACAACTTGCCGGAATCCAGCAATAACTGGTCAGAATCGGGTGACCGGTCAATTGTCTTAGTGACAGACTCAGACCTTGAAGGCTACGGGCCTGAGCAAGCAGGCCTCGTAGGTAACGATTTGTGGGCAGAGCTAGGCCTAGCATGCAGGGTTCGTCTCGTGGCTCGAAGTGCAGTTAGTGGAGTTGGGCTGGTGAGGTTCTCCACCCTTTGGCTTGGGTGTCGAGTAGGTGCTAAGATCTCACCGGAAAAGCTTGTCATGGCTGGAAAATTGGCCGGAAACCCGGCCATGGAGGGGATGGACATACCCGTGTTTTAGTTGGGGCAAAGATAGGTAGAGAGAGGGGTTTTGGTATTTTGCCTTGATTCTGGTCATTGTGTGTGTACATATATGTTTGGATTTAAGGTTAAATAAAGTATTGACAAGGGCTTGTTAGGGAAGAGAGTTCTTGTCTAGTCAGTCTTCGAGTCTTCTTTTCCATTGAGGTCTTATCAAAGCTGTGTATATTTGGCAACTTATCTGATGCTACACTGGAGAAGAGCTCTATCAATTGTTGTGTTGTTGTTTTGTGGACCTCTTCTTTTGGCTTTTCCACTTTGGTTTATTGTGCTTGTAGAGAGAGAGAGAGAGAGAGAGAGAGAGAGAGAGAGAGAGAGAGAGAGAGAGAGAGAGAGAGAGTAGTAGTTAGTTAGTTAGTTTACGTTTACGTTTACGTTTACGTTTACGTTTACGTTTACGTTTTACGTTTTACGTTTTACGTTTTACGTTTTACGTTTTACGTTTTACGTTTACGTTTACGTTTACGTTTTACGTTTTACGTTTTACGTTTTACGTTTTACGTTTTACGTTTTACGTTTACGTTTAGTTTACG